TTTATATTAAAGGGCATGTTTGGATAATTGAGGGGAATTTTGATTTTTGTTTCTATTATAAGGATTGTTTTCTATTGTAGACAGGGATTTTAGACTACTAATTTATATTTCCTTAATTTTGATTATTCAATATACAATAAATATAATCTCTAACTGCTTGGGTCTCTAGATAATTGAAGACAACTTTAACCAATGTTTCTATTTATTTGACATTTTGTGGGTTAATTTGCTCATTTTCGTAAATTGTTAACTCTGTCAACTATTTGTTTGATAACTCTGTGTTGGGTTGAGTTGTTGAACACTTTAACTACTTCGTTATAAACTTCTCTTTTTTCTTAAAAAACACCTTTTACCTCTTGCCTTTTCAATCTCTACCTATCGCATCATACCTTTTACTAATAATATACATATCACATTTTACTTTTACATATCACATCAAGGGTATTTTAGGAAAGTCAACAAAAAAATATCTCTTCCTTAAATCCTTGAGAAATCAAAAAGGGAAGTTTATTCGGGACGGAAGGAGTAATAGTTATGATTATATTAATATTGGCTAATACTTGAGAATATGTTGTTTGTTTTTAGTTAGTAAAATTTCCACTAAATAGGACTAAAACATAATGACTTTCCTAATCTAAGACTTAAACTTTTTTATTCCCTAAATAGGACTTAATAATGTCTTAGTGGAAGGAATAATGCCAAGTAATGATGGACATTTATTTGAATAATGACTAATTAATAATCACCAAAGGTTTTATATTGGGAAATAAAAACATATGGTCCTATATTAAGAAAGTCATTATGTTTTAGTCCTATTTAGGTAAATTACTCGTTAGTAAAATTTGCCTCTAAAGTCTAACTAATTTATTTATATGTTTTTCAGTATCTTTATTTAAATAGAGTGCTGACAAATTCATCTTTTTTTCCTTTCCATGTGTTCAGTGGAATGAAGCTTGAAAGCTTTCATTTAGGTCGTACGAAAAAAAGAATTTTTGATAACATTAGTGAAAAAAAGTTTTTTGAAGAAAAATATTTTCTCCCAATCGGAGAAAAATGATTTCTGTTTACCTTCGAAAGAAAATTTACATTCTCTCTTTGCCTCATTCCCCATACATCCTTTGTAACACCCTAATTCGTCAAGGTCCGCAGCACATTTCGGACTAAAGTATAAACTTTTTAATCGTAAAACGTATTTGAAGATGGTGAAATTGCACAACCAGTCTTACCCCCGTAAAATACTCCAAAGAGACTGTTTTCAATAACACCACTGATGCATTGCTACATTTAGCATCCAAAACTTTTGTGAAAGTAATTAACCAAGGAAGTTTACTATGTCATTTTGACTGTATTTATAATCTTTTTATACATAAGTATATATTGAAGGGTTATAATCTTACTCCAAGTTGCCCGATAAGCTCCAATATGAAGAGCACCCACTTATTGAAGGGTGATAACCTTACACCAATTGAATTCAAAGGGTGCAGGAGTGGTAATTTAAACTTTTGTTGATTTTATGATCAATTTTTTCACTCAAAATTTGGTCAGTGCAATTGGAGGGGTGCATGGTGCGTAAGGGACGAGTAGGAGATTTGGGATTTAATTACTGGAAAGATAGGGGTGGAAATAATAAATTTTAAGCTCGAAACTCTGTATGTATACCCATTAAATTGGTGTAATAATATTACACCAATTCAAATGGTGTAAGATTATCTCTCTTATATTGTTAAATGATCAATATAACGATGTCTTCTTCCCTAGGCGTCGTCTAGGGTCTTTTTCCCCTAATCAAATTCTAGGGTCTTTTTGCTCAAGTCTTTCATTTCTGTTGTTTGATTCGATCAGGCCTTATGGGATCTAGGGAGTTGCACAACCTCAACGACCGTATTGCAGCATTGGGCATCTCAGAGGATGACGAGGGCATATCCTTTGCCCAGACGGAAGATGCTCAGATGACAGGGGCTTTACCACAATTTTGGACCATCACCGGGCGATTCCTCACAGACAAGCCTATCAAGTTTGAAGTGATGCAGCAAGTTCTAGCATCGGTGTGGCGACCGGCCATGGGTGTACGGATTTCACAGGCAAGTTCTGGAATTTACCTTTTCAATTTTTGTACTAAAGCCGTGTTCGTCTTTATGACAGGTTTTGATAATGCCAAACCACCGAGAACGAGACAAGTCATCGAATATACAAGGCGAAGAACGAAGATAAGAACAAGAGCTAAAAGAAGACCAAGAACGAAGACCGTAGTCTTAGTATTGTTGAGTGGGTAACAATTGTGATCAAGACCGACCCAAACCTCACGCCTTGGCTCTTTAGGCTAAAATCTATTTTTTACATTTATAGTATCATAAAAATGTTTTTCAAACTTGTTCAAGACATTAAAAACACTTGGTATTCGCCCAAACCAAAAACCAAGCCATCCGGCTTTCGGCTTTCAGAAACCGGCGTTCGGTTTTCAGTGTTGGTTTTTTGGCGTCTGAACCAACAAAGTGTTTTTCAACATTTTATGATTGGTTTTTACTTTTTGGCATGTTTAAACAGTTCTCCAACAAAAACATCTTAAAAACCACCTTTCGGTTTTGGTCGTTTGGCAAAAACCACGTAAAACGACATAAACTTGGCTAGCCGTGGTTTTTACCCAAATGACGTAGTTTTTAAAATGTCTCACTTGATTTATTATCCAAATACATCAAATAAGTCTTTTAAACACTTGGTATTTATTTTGGAGAACTTTGGATTTTTCGGTCGGTTTTGCATCGGTTGGCTAGGTCGTGGTTAAGGCAAAAACCATAGGTTTTTGGCTAACCACCCACCCAGCGATGGGAAGAACTTCCCATCGATGGGCAAGCAGTCCCTTAGCCAAACCAACTTCCAGAACCATGCCAAACAGCGATAGGAAGTTCTACCCATCGCTGTTTAAGCCTTGGTCCAACATCAGCACAAGGCAGAACGACCTTACCCAGCGATGGGGACTTTACCCCATCGATGGGAACCCAGCGATGGTAAGGATAAACCATCGTTGGGAAGGCATGACCGTTGGAAGTCATTTAAGGTTGATTCTTTCCTTGTTTGGAAGTCAACCTCCCACCCAGCGATGGGAAGCTTGTACCCATCGATGGGTATGTAACCGTTGGCTTCAAAACTGAAGGAAAATTGACTTACCAGCGATGGATAGGTTCCAAACATCGATGGGAAGCCAATATCCTGCAGATCCCAAATTTATTCAATCCCATAAATCAAGCCAATCACCCCTTTAATGCATTGGTCCGTTGGAGCCTATTTTGGCACTATAAAAAGGGGTGTTTGGGTCTCCTTTTATCATCAATTCACTTCACAATATTCATATTATCATTGCATCCAAACAACATTATTTTCCATAGCTTTCTAGAGCCAATTTGTGAAGTTTGAGTTGTTCTTGAGCGTATATAGTTTACTCNGTTCCAAACATCGATGGGAAGCCAATATCCTGCAGATCCCAAATTTATTCAATCCCATAAATCAAGCCAATCACCCCTTTAATGCATTGGTCCGTTGGAGCCTATTTTGGCACTATAAAAAGGGGTGTTTGGGTCTCCTTTTATCATCAATTCACTTCACAATATTCATATTATCATTGCATCCAAACAACATTATTTTCCATAGCTTTCTAGAGCCAATTTGTGAAGTTTGAGTTGTTCTTGAGCGTATATAGTTTACTCAACATCCACTCTTAAAGAGAGTTTTGTTCTTGAGTGTTCTTATTGTTGTATACACGTTAAGGGAAGCTTGTTTCCCTTGGTTGTACGAAGGAAAGGTATTTTCCTTCGGGTTGAAGTCTTGGAGTGCGGTATCTCCGAGCAAGTGTTATTGAGGCTCGTGGGACTCGAGTTCTGAGGTTGTAACGGTTTGTTAAGCACCTGTAAGCTTAACGGAAGTACTGTAGCTCGAGAGAGTCTCTCGGGAGACTAGATTAGCCACACCTTGTGGTGAACCAGTATAAATCTTGGTGTGCTCCCATTACGCTTTCTACGCTCTTTACGTTTCACGTTCTTAAATTTTTTTATTTCTGCGATTTCTACGATCAAACGCTATTCACCCCCCCTCTAGCGTTGGTCACTTATTCTAACAAAGTTATAAGGATTAACAAAGACATTCAGAATTAATACTTTCATCTTTATTTTTATTCTCACTCGGGAAATAATAATATAAAATTAACCATAAGTAATACTAACTTGGTAAAAGTAATCTTATAAATGACAATGTTTGACATTAATTTTTATTTATAATCACAATGAAACACAAGCTATTGAAAACTATATTATTTGAAATTTCAAGACTAATCCTGTATGAAATGATATATAATTTATTTATGTTGCGTAAATCTTCTGTAACGCTTTATTTTTCTAATACTACAGTTGTGCGGAAGAAAATTTTTCATAACTTTCAATGCTTAACCTTTTACTATAATACAATTCAGATGACTGATTGATGTTCGTGAATAACATAATGGGTATAACATTCTTCAAATTAAAATGATTTTGTGGTTTGAGATTTACAAACATTTGTTCTCATTTATAAACTCTATTATTCTACAATCGTCATTGATGGGCAAACTATATGATCGCTTGCATTGATATAGATTATCGAAAAAATTAATTTATCTCCTTGCATGTATATGACTCTTTTCTCGCAAATTAATTTTTAAATAATATGATTTTCCTTTACCCGGTTCCATTAAAAAACAAAACAACTTGTGATCCTATAATTATTGTTCATTGTATTAATTAAAAAACAAGATTACCATCCTTATGATTCAAAGTATGCGATTCTTCTACCCTCGATCGCCACATTAATTTAAATTAGTGAAATAAATGTTGTTCGTCTCTCTTGTGTTAACTAGGATCACACCCGTGCGTTGCACGAGTCATTTTTATGTTATTAAATTCAAATCATTTTTCAATGATAAAGATGAGATGCAATAGAATATAGAGATTATGTTATTATAAGGTAAAAAATATCAATGCTTTACAAATTTCGAAAGACTTCTTTATAGACTACATTATTTGTACAATTTGTGAGAATATTGACTTCATTTCATATCAGAATATTCAATCCACTACGATTAGTTACTCTTGAAACTGCAACATAGAATTATCCATGACTAAACACAGGTTTCTGTAACAATAGTTCAACATATTTCAGAGATTGTCCCTGGCTCTTGTTAATCGTCATTGCGTACGAAGTAACCACAGGGAATTGTTGTAACGACACAAAATATGGCCTAAAATTTATTATTAAACAAAAATAGTTTTTGTCCAATAAGGAATATTTATACGTTTGACCAAAAATAAATGGATTTTTAAAATAATGACTTTTTGTTAAAAACTTATTTTTTATGGATATGTCTCGAAGAGACGAATCCAACGGTACATTTTATGAACCAATCTGATTTATAGATTTCAAGCTATGACGTTTTAAATATTAAAATTTGTAACTTTGACCCATAAAATAAACTCAATTCAAAAGTGATTTCATAAGATTAGAAATCTTAATTTTTGACACTTGACAACATCATATTAATCATTTGGATTTAATTCATATATTTTTATATCATTTATATTATTATATTAATTTATGATTGAGACAAACCCGAACACTGAGAAAAAATAAAAGTTCTCAGAAAAATATTTTGATTATGTCGAAATTCTAATTTTGACAGTCTGATTCAAGAAACACAATCCGTTTTCAATTTGGAACAGTTTGGGCGAAAAAGTGCGTACCGTTTAGAGTAAATTGTTCAGTTTTGGCAAAAAGCCAAAACTTAAATTATCAAATCTCATGTACATCACGGATCAGCTCCCCCTATTCCACTAAGAGAAATTTACCTAAATAGGACTAAAACATAATGACTTTTCCAATATAGGACCATATGTTTTTATTTCCCAATGTAGGACCTTTGGTCATTATGAAGTAGTCATTATACAAGTAAATGTCCATCATTACGGGACATTATTCCTCCCACTAGGTCATTATTAAGTCTTATTTAGGAAATAAAAAAGTTTAAGTCTTATATTAGGAAAGTCATTATGTTTTAGTCCTATTTAGTGCAAATTTCACTTCCACTAAAGATATCCTAGCTCCACTTTTGACTCCACTAATACAATAAACTCCAAATTCTTTTCATATAATACTCCACCACCACCATCATCATAATCTTCACCATCATCCACCATCATTCGTCCATTCCTCCCTCTCCATCTCTCTCTTTCTGTCGGCAGCAAGCTAAGGGAGAAAAACACACCAACTCCATGAATATATGCTAAAGAAGAAGGAGAAGCAAGCAAGAAACCATCCAAAGTTTCTAAAATCCTGAAATCAAACACAGCAGCCCACTTTAAGGTATAAGCTGAAATTTTCCATCCATTATCTCGAAATAATTTCTGAACCAAAGTTGTAGCCCCGGACGATACGAATCTAGCCCAACAAACGGCTCGCGGTTTCGTTAAGCAATGAAGAAGATATGGCCAAAATACCGGGACTGCGCCAGTGGTGGCGAGCTCCTCGGGTTGGCTATGTTTCTTCACCATATCCATGTTTCATTCCAAGCACTCACCATAAACTCTCTAACAATTATTAGGAACATCCGGAAGTTATTGTAGAGAAGGTTCGGTGTTGAAATATTAAAGTTAATGAGTTAATCGTCGGAATCGTGGTTCATCGACATATCCGAAATCCTGGACAACAACTATCCTCTGACTTCAGGTCCGATTTACGCCATCTTACATCTGTTAACTCGAAATACTTTCTATACGAAACTTATAGCCTTACATCTTAGGAATCCACAGAATCAAACGGTTTGCAATTCCGTGAAGAAACGATGGAGATATGCCCAAAATACGGCAGGCTGTCCAATTGTGATGAGAATGACAAAGTTGGTGAATTTCGATATTGTTTCCACTCCCGCTCATCCGTAAGGTTTTGGCCGATTATTTCCAAGTCTGTACCCTTGCGTTAGACTTGTCGAATCATTCATCACATACATACATGAACATATATATTAATCCACATGTTGAAAACATTCCAAAATATATATATGTGAAGCATATATATGTCATCTATGTGTTAAGACCAAAATACACCAAATTCATAAAGTTAATATTTATACCTAAGTATATATAAACATTTGAAATCAACCCAACAACATGTATATATGATAATCAAAGGTGTTTAAAAGACTTAAAGAAGTATTTTGAACACTCAAAATATCAAGAGAAAGATTCGCAGACCCAAACACTCGACGCAAACGGTCGACCGTCGTATTAAACTTCAAAACGGACCACGACTGCCTGCAGAACGGTCGACCGCCGTCGGCGAACGGTCGACTGCCGACAGCTAGCCGAAGTCCGCCATCCGCAGCCAGTCAACAACGGTCGACCGCCGGTCGACCGTCACGGTGATCCGCCGTTCCGACGAAGTGAAGATCAAGGTCGACCGCCGTGCCAAACGGTCGACCGTTCCGAGCCGAGTAGCTTGATTAAATGACATTTTAATTATGTTTCAACTAAATAAACTTATGCATGATTATATATTCATATTGTTTGCAAATTGTTCACATCATATCATTCATTTCGTCATTCATATTGAAGCATATCACATCATATGCATGCGTAAGAGATCATATTGTGTGGGACTTAGCAGTCCGACAACCCTGACCGGGCTTAGTGTACGTACATGGTATTCACACTTTAGGGTACCACCCCTATTTTTCTAGTCTCCCTCGTGAGACTAAGAAGGACATGAGTTCGTCGTACCAAATGGGCGAATCTCATAGTGCAAGGTCGTTCCTTGCTGACTAGAATCATACAGCATGAAGTCATCATCAAGTAAAATCATCATGACTATATAGGACATCAATTTTGTATTGTAATCATCATCAAGAACAATCAAATTGATTAAATTAATGTGCTATCATGTAATTAGCATTGAATATTTATCATCATGATTCACCAAATTGACCATATGATATAATGTGTCATATCATGAATATTGTTATACATTTTTGTGGACGTATATATATGTATATGTATATGTGTGAATTATTCTACAATTTTAGCGTGGTACCACTCAGCGGTTTCGCTGAGCGTGTAGTTTGTATTTTTTGTGGACTACACGTAGGTAACAAGAAGACTATGATGGAACCACTCCCGCAGGGCATTGAGTCAGAGGAGATGCAAGGATGACAGGAAAATGTTTGATCATCAAGATTTTAAAATGTGTCATGATTTGATTATTATTGTACTTCCGCATTACTCTGAAAATATTTTTAAATGGGTCGCGATCCAGAGTCTATAAATTTAACATTTATAATAAATTGTCATTTTCAAATATCAAGCGAAAGTTTTATTTAACCCTCGTTTCACCTTAATACATGTAATTCCGGATTATACGAATTGGTGTGTTACAATTGTCTTCTTTGAAACTTGAAAGGAATTCTTGTATCGGATAGTGTTAATGATACTCTTGGAATAACGACTTCTTCACCCATGTGGCTTCCTGATAATATTTTTCCTTGGTTTGAGTGATTAGCCAACCGGGTTACTATCAGCCGTGTACCATTACATAAACCCATTTAATGGTCAATATTTCTCAACAACATAATAGGCATGCCTACCTTCAGAGTTAACTCATGATTCTGTACACCAAAAGCATGAATCTTATTTAAGAATTTGAGAGAGTGTAGGTCACAAAAAAACTTGAACTGCAATCTGAGTTCTCAACTTTGTCAGAACTAAGATATGTTCGAGACTCGCTGCTTGGATTCATTGATGTCATATATTTATTTATGGAATCGACGACATGTAATGTAGGAGCAAAAATTGTGCGCTCCTGCAAGTAGCTTAGTTCATTTGCCATTTTTTGAAAGTCTAGATAAGTCAAATCCACTATAGTGGCTATTGGATCTTCAGAAGATGGAAGTAACATGTCATCAGGTATTATCACCTCAACATAGCCGTCTTGTTCATCACCTGCGTTCCCGTCGCCTATACCCGCAATCCAACTGCTGAATTCAAATAATTGATCATAACTACTATCATGAATCATTGATTGCAGTCGCATGTTTTTTGTCAAACGCAACATTGTGCACTCTTCTCAAATGTATGAAGAATTAATCGTTGAGTTAATGATGTCCTGTCTCGTTCCTTTCGGAATAACTGGCAAAATTAGACAAAAATCTCCACCAAAGACAATTGTTTTTCCTCTGAAAGTTTGTTGTTCACTCATTGGATTAAAAAAGCGTAGAATATCACACATACTTCTATCCAAAGCTTCAAAGCAATAGTTGTGTGTCATAGGGGCTTCATCCCAAATAATTAATTTGGCTTTCACCAAGAGTTGTGCTAGTGGAGAGCCTTACTTTATTTATGCTCCAAGTAGAGTTTTCATCTGGAATCAATGAGATTTTAAAACGCAAGTGAGCCGTTCTACCACATGGCAACAATAACGAGGTTATTCCCCTTGACGCAACATTCAGTACTATATCACCTCGACATCGTATTGCAGTTGATAATGTTCTCCAGACATATGTCTTGCCGGTTCCTCCATATCCGTACAGAAAGAAAATTTTGCCAGCATTTGTTTGAACGGATTGCATTATTGCTTTATACGCTGCGCGTTGTTCATCATTCAGTGAACGTAATAGTATGGGAATTGTTGTTGCTAAATAAAAAAGGATAGGATGCATGACTTAGGCGTTGATTGATGGATTAATGTGCTTGATAATGTTTAGAATGTTAATATGAACCAATTGGTGTTTGTTATGAGATTATTGTTGGTCGGATATTTAAAAATGAAACAGGTGCAAATATGGAAATTGTTGTGTCAGATGGTAGGCGGTACCGCCGGGACGGTACCGTGCTACCGTCACACTCTATTGGTTGCTTTTGCCTCTGTCGGTAGCTGCAACCGTTCGGTACCTAGGTACCAGACGGACGATAGGCCCTACCGCCTAGTCGGTAGTCGGCTACCGTGGCAATCTTACCCGAAGGGCTTATTTGATTCAAACGACTCCATGTGAGCATGACGGTAATCATGGGCCTTCGGTTCTGATAGGCCGCTATTTGATATGTTGGTGAATAATGAATTGAGATTTGAACTAAATTAATCTTATTGGTAATTATTGTGAATTCTGGATAATATTGGAAATAGGCCACCTAGTATAATAAGGCGGATCTGAATTGGATTGTTTGATTGGATCACCAATAGGCTAAGACTAAAGTTTAGGCCATTGTGGGGCGTCGTCGCACACCCGGTGGTCTTGGGTTAAAAACGTACGTACGGAAGTCCTTGAACTATCTTAGCATTGCAGAGACAGGGGCTTTAACCCGCCCAGAGTGAATCTCCTTTGGGTTTTCTAAAGCTGACCCTTTTATACCATCGCTTGGGGTGCCATGACTCATTGGTATATGAATTTCCTTAGTCATCATAGGTTAAGAGATGTGATTTGGATAAATGAATATGAATATCGTAGGGTGTTCCGAGTATTAAATATTACTATACCTGTATGCATGATGTGCGAAAACAAAGGTTGAGTTTGCATGTTATATCTTGTATACCGTATGATTGTTGCCTAGCATATTGTGTGCATGATATCATGTGATAATTGTGAATTAGTGTATTCGCCTATGTGTATGTTCGAACTGTTAGATAATTCTCACTCAGCGTCATTGCTGAGCGTGTAGCCTTTCTTTTTCCCCTTGTTACACGTAGGTGGTTGGGGAAGATTGATTCAGGATTCCATCCCGGAGAGCAGCATGACGGAGGAGATGAACGGATGCAAGAATTTAATGTTTGATTAAAATATAAAGCTTCTGCACGGTTTGTATAAACTGTGATATGTATTTGAATAGTTTTAAATTGTTTGAGTTTTAAATTAAATGTTTTAATTTATTAGAAAATATTGTTTGTATATACTAGTTTAGTAACAACCCGGTTTGCTAACCTAATTATTCGGGTTATGCGGGTTGGAGTGTTACAATAATAATAATAATAATAATAATAATAATAATAATAATAATAATAACAACAACAACAACAATAACAATAACAATAACAATAAAAATAACAATAACAATAACAATAATAATAATAATAATATCACTATTGTAAATTTTATATATATAACCAAAAGGCAAAACTATTGCTTGTCCTCCAACAACATAAGCAAGCAATTGCTTGGAAGCTAAAGGACATCCAAGGAATAAGCCCAGTCAATTGCACACATAAGATTGCCATTGAAGATGGATTTAAGCCAATTGTCCAAGCACAACAAAGACTCAATCCAAAATTGATGGAGGTTGTGATATATCCCCGGGTACTACAAGTGATCCTCAAATCCTTAAACAAATTAGTGGAATCATGTCTAAATGTTATGATCCTTTCTGGAATGAATTTACCATCACCAAGCCATAATACCCAACCATAATAACCTTGAACCTATCCCCACCCTAAAAAGGGCCGTATAACATTCACCAAAATCAAACCAAAACCCAAAATCAAACCCCTAAACCTTAGCCTCATTTTCCTTCCCCTTGGTCGAAAGTACCCTACCCCATGGCCCTACCTGATTCACTTCATTAACATCACACATTATGTGCCAAAAACCATATCAAACCATAAGCCATCCCCCCTTTTCATTTCCCTAAGTTAAAGCCGAAACTCACCAAGCCAAACACCCAAATTCATTCACCCAACATCCAACCAATATTGTCCCCCTCATGTCCCCTAATACAACCGAATAAACAAGCACAATAAACCAAGAAACATTTGTGATTGCTTTGACCATTAAACCACCATATAAATCATCAAATAAAGTCCATCATTCACATACCCTACTGTTCCCCACTAGGGTTGAATGACTCACCACCCCAACCACCAAGTATTCACCACAATAACAAGTCAAAATACTCACACGTCACCCATCCCTTTTGCCCCCTACAATATGGCCGAAAATCCCCATCATTCAAGGATATTCATTCATGATCTTTGGCCCCATTTATTGACAACCTTTAGCCAAAACATCACACCCAAAATCCCTGATTTTATTCCAATGAAAGGACTCAAAACATGGTTGCATTTTCAAGGATTTGTGGAAGAAGTAGCTTGGTACTTTCCTATGTATGTGTGTGTCTTTAAATTTCGGCCATAGGCCTTTTGTAATGAACATCATATTTTCTCATTTTGTAGTAGTAATACACTTGTTTTATTCTATTTTAAATCCTAATTTCTATATCTTAAGGTTGGTTCCCTTAAGTGTGAGTGTTAGGTTCTAGATATTTAATTGAGTGTGTAATATCTTAATTGAATTCTAGACTCAAACCCCAAGTGAGGATAAGCGTGTGTTATATCTTTTAAAACCAACTTGGTTTTATCCTTTCCCTTTATTCTCCCCCTTTATTTCTCGGTCCTTTTACAAACATCCTCAAACAACCCCTTTTTCTTCCCTATTCATACACCTTAAACCATCTCAAAATACCCCCTCCTTTCCCCTCCTTTATTTCGGCCAATCCCTTCCCCTTTCAAACCTAAGCTAAGGTATATCAGGTTGTCCACAAAGAAGTGCTAAGACTACTAGATGGAGGTATCATCTACCCTATCTTCGATAGTCATTGGGTGTCACCTATTCATATGGTCCTAAAAAAGGAGGTATGACAGTAACTAAAAACGAAAAGGGAAAGTTAGTCTTAAGTAGGATTGTAACTGATTGGCATTTGGTCATTGACTATAAAAAACTTAATGATGCCACCAGAAAGGACCACTTCCCGCTCCCTTTTTTCGACTACCTGATAGAGAGGCTAGCAGGCCACGCCTATTATTGCTTTCTATATGGCATGAGCGGGTACTTTCAGATCCACGTGAACTTAGAATACCAAGAAAAGACCACATTCACTTGTCCTTTTGGAACATTTGCCTTTCGGCGGATGTCTTTTAGACTCTATAACGCCCCTGCAACCTTTAAGCGATGTATGATAGCCATTTTTGACGAGTGTTTGGGTAATCTTGAGAAAGTTCTAATTAGATGTGAGGAAACCCATTTAGTCTTGAGTTGGGAGAAATGCCAATTCTTGGTTAAAGAGGGAATTGTGTTAGGACACAAGATTTTCAGTAACGGGGAATAGGTTGTCCGAGCTAGAATTGAATATATTGAGAAGCTTCTCCCACCAAACTCGGTTAAGGCCATTCAGAATTTCTTGGGACACGCTGGTTTCTATAGGTATTTTAAGGACTTCGCAAAAATAACAAAGCCATTGACTGCCCTGATTGAGAAAGGGGTGGAATTCAATTTAATTGATGAATTCCTGCAAGCCTTCAACACATTGAAGGAAAAATTAATTACTGCCCCCGTTCTTATAGCCCTAGATTGGGATGTTCCCTTTGAACTGATGTGCGATGATAGCGACCTAGTACTTGGGGCAATTTTTGGTCAAAGGAAGGATAAGGCCTTCCGCCCCATCTATTATGCTAGTAAGACTTTATCAGGGGTGCACCTTAACTTTATAACAAATGAAAGGGAATTCCTGGCTATTGTGTATGCATTAGAAAAATTTAGGCCTTACATCATTCTTTCTCAAGTTATCGTTTACCCCGACCATGCGGCATTACGATACTTGTTGCAAAAGAATGATGCAAATCCTAGGCTATTACAATGGGTACTTTTGCTATAGGAGATTGATATAAAGGTGAAGGATCCGAAGGGATCAACCAACCAAACTGCTGACCATCTCTCATGTCTAGACGTGGAGGTGGCAGAAACCTGTAGCAAATGCGAGGTTGATGAAGCTTTTCCATTTGAAAAGATCAGTACTATTCAAGATAAGGAGCCATGGTATGCAGATATTGCAAACTACCTTGCAGGCAAGGTTGGACCCACCTTGTTGACACCTCATCCAACGAAGAAGCTTAAGTGGAAGGCCCATTTCTACTTCTGGGATGACCCGTATATCTTTCGAATCTGCGCAGATCAAGTCATTAGACTTTGTGTAAGCATTTTTAAAAAGGAAAAAATAGCAAACAAAAACAAAAAGAGAAAATTAAAGTAGTGGAAACATTTTTAAAAAGGAAAAAATAAAAAAAGAGAACAGAATAAAGAAAATTAAAATAAAAAGGAAAGAAATGATAAAAAGTGAAAAACAAATAGAAAATAAATAAATAATTAAAAAAGGATCAAAATAAAAAAAGAAGCAAAAGAAAAGATGGAAAAAAGTGAATAAGAAAAAAATAAAAGAAAGAAAAAGACAAAAAATAAAAGAAATGTGGGGGAAAAGAAAGGAGAGAAAAAGGGGAGGGAGTTGAAAAAGAAAAGAATATAAATTATGGGAGTGTAAAGAGAAGAAAAGAAGAAAGGGGGTCAATGTGAAGTAATTATTTTTTCATTATTTTGTCTTACATTATTTTGTCTTATATTTTTGTTTGCTTTCGACTTTTTTTGTTGGTAATTTTTATATAATTATTTTTTAATAAAAATGAAGTAAGAGTTTCTAAAAAAATTGTTTCTGTTTAAACTTTCTCTCATCTTATTTTTTTTTCCTTTTTAATGTATTTATTTAGGACCTATTTTATTAACCTATTCTATTTAATTCTTTACAATAAAGATTAAAAATAGACAAAAAAATTAACTAAAAAATAAAAAACAAAGAAATTAATATGTATGGTTTGATTTTTTCGTTTAATTAAATTGATTAAATATAACACAGTTAAAAGAAAAGATAAATAATAAAGATAAAGGAAAAAATAGCGAAACGGATAAATAAAGAAAAAAAGAAAGAAAAACAAAAAAAGAAAACAAAGATAAAAAGTAAGAAATGAGAAAAGGCATAAAAAATAAATAATAAAATTTTTTTCAAAAAGGAACGAAAGAAAAACATATCAAATGGAAACAAATACAGAAAATCAAAACAATGAAAAAAATTTTAAAAAGGAAAAAATAAAAAAATAAGACAAGATGAAGAAAATTAAAGTAAAAAGGAAAGAGATGATAAAAACTGAAAATGAACAAAAAAAAGAGTTAGAAAAGGATCAAAGGGAAAAAAAGGAAAAGAAAAGATGGAAACAATAACGAATAAAAAAAAGAAAAGAAAGAAAAAAAAATAAAAGAAAAGATGGGAAGAAGAAAGGAGAGAGAGAAAAGGGAATGAGTTGAAAAAGAAAAGAATATAATTTATGGGAGTGTAAGGAGATGAGAAGGAAGAAATGAGGTAAATAAACTTTTAGTAAAAAATGATAAAATTTCAAATATTTTTTATAAAAAGTTTTAAAATTCAAGTAGCAAATCCAAATTTTTTAAAGGTGAATAGTGTGATAGTCTGAAATTTACCCGAAGTGTGGGACATTCGGTTGTACGGAACAATATAATTTGACACAAGGGGTTGCATTAGGTCATTCTCCAAAAGGTGAAATCGCTCACCTTGGGCGCCCCTCACCCCCGACCCGACAGAAATGTGAGAGGAGGTAAATCACGATGATCCAAGCACAACACTTAGCTAGACTATATCCTAGTGCGTACAAGATACTCTCCATTGTTCAAGGTGGTCGCCTCTATCCAAACTTGCCACTTGGGCTACCCGTGCGGGTGGGGTTTCATTAGGTCATTACCGCCTCAAGGTGGAGCATCCCCGCATGTTTACCTATCAATTCAGTTTTCAGAAAAGAGTTCAATGGAGGAAGGAGAAGAGTATTCACTGCAAAAGAACTTGATATGGAAAACATCACCGTCTTCATCACTCATATCCGAATCGAATTCATTCCTTTCATCAACACTGGGTAGGGTTATGAACACACTGCTCACCGCCAAGCCCAAAAAGCTCCAAGACGCAATTTCTCGTCTACAGCCCTCTCAAAAAACCGCACCAACCAGAGGTTTATATGTATGCATGCTCTGTGTAGTATAGTGTAATGTAATCCTACATATTATGACTTTTTGCAATGTATTCCTGTCCTCAGTTTCTTTGGAACAGTCACTTTGGTTCCTTCACAAGTACGCTGTGGATTCCCGGGAGAAAGAGGACAGTTTGGACCAAGTTTTTATTCCCATGATTGAACATGTATGGCCGGTACTGAATCTCGTTTATGTTCTTTATATAACTCAGTTGGTCTCAGTTTGAATATGACTGGGCCTTGTATCTATTTTATGAAAATTGGATTGCTCTTTTCCATTACATAGAAACTCATACGTTGTTCATGAAGCTATTACGTTTGAGAAGATGTAGTTGTTAGTGAAGCACAGTTATATTTGCCAGTGTATTAATCAGGGAAAACCTTGTTAGTATATATGCAATCCCCTTTGCTCTAAGTTACAACTAAGGAAAATATGCACAAATCACTAAATTGCAGTTATAAGCTTTTAGCAGGACTCAATTTTCCCAGCCTCCCTGTAATCACTTAACTTGCATTTCTTTGATACCTTCAAGGTTCAATTAGATATGAAACCACAGTTATTTCTTGGTTTTGATAGGAAATGGAGCATGTTGCTACTCCCTCCATCCCATATCTTATTTCCCGTATTTACTTGACATGGGTTTTAATGTTGAATGAAATGTGCTTTGACTTTCCCAAATGTCGCCTGCCTCCATCACCCACGGCAGTCACCCCCATGGTCAGCATAATTGAAGAGAGATTCTTTTTTCCTTTCTTCCCGTCTCCCTCTCGAAAATATGAGATCTAAAGATCTCTGACTTTTTAAAATTTCAAATATGGTCGCCTCCATCACTAGTTTCTGGTTGCCTCCATCAGCTGCCGGCAGTCGCCTCTATCAACAAATTAAATCCATCCACATTCATGAAGGAGGAGTTAGGAAGAAGGATGAATTGGGGGAGCGGGGGTTTGCCAAAGAC